GCCCTTTTCGCTCTTCTGATGTCCAGGCTGACGTGGATGCAGGGGGTCCCTCACGTGCTGGTTGGAGAGCAGCGAGAAGCTGATGTTGCAGACCCTGAGACCCAGCCCTCATGTGCCGGAGGCTGCCAAGGGCATGGGGAGCTGAAGCCGAGGGCTGTTGGAGGCCAAGGACCGTGGGGATGCTGAGGATGGAACGTCTACTCCTGGCCCCCGAGGACTGGAGGATCAGCAGAGCCCAGACCCCGCAGGGCGCCCTGTGCCAGGTCCAGCTCCAGGGACTTCTAGGAACTGGGGCGTCTTGGTCCCCTCTGGGTATGGAGGGAGTGAGGTATGCTGGAACTGGGAGGGGCTGTCCCGGAGAAGGGGGGGCAGTCATCTCCTCCCCTGGCCTCCAGGGTGCCAAGCTCATGTTGGAAAAGCTCATGTTGATCCTCTCCGCTTGGGCCTGGAGGGCACTCTGAGCACGTGGGCACCTTCCCAGCCGCCGAGTTCGGGCCATCTCCTTAGCCGATCCCAGATCCTGGAATGGGAGCTTCTGCTGGTCCTGGGCTCCGTGTTGGGGAACTGGTGGCTGGATGGGAGGACCAGCTTTGCTGTTGTTGAATCTGATAGATGGATGTTCTTGGGTGCCCGTGGGCGTAGGCACCAGTAACCCCAGCCTGGAAGGTGTGAGGGAATCACCCAGAGGCAGAGTCTGGTGGTGGTGGGTCGGGCCCCGTGACGGTGGGCGGTGCCCCTTTGCAAACTTCAGCAAGTCCTCTTGTTTCCAGGGCACAGACACCGGGGGCTGTGGTCTGTGAGAGGCCAGGTCAGCCCGTCCATGGGCAGCCACCGAAGCCTGCGGGCTGGCCAGGTTCAGGGTGAAACTGTAGTCTAGGAGAGACCTGGAATGCCAGCTGGGGTGGAAAGTGCCTGGTAGCCTAGTCCACTCCAGTCTGTGATTGTTGTCCACCCAACGACGCATATCTGGAGAGAGGCCCTGGCTGTTTTCTGGGGCTGGTGAGACGAGGCCCTTGATTAGATAGGCAAAGAAGAGCAAAATAAACCCGAGGTTCACAGAACAAAGCAAATAATGAAATTTAGAACACGGATAAACAGGACAGAGGCGCTCTTGAGAAAATCAATGACACAAGAGTTCTTTGTTTTAAAGATTTAAAAAATGGACAACATGGGACAATTGTATGTCAACAAGTTGCTTAACCTAAATGAAATGGATAAAATCCTAGAAACACACAAGCTAGCAAAACTGACTCAAGAAGAAATGGAAAGTCTGAGTAGATCTTTTATAAGTAAACAAACTGAAGCAGTAATAAGAACCCAACAGGGAAAAAGAACCTGATGCCTTCATTGGTGTTTTGTCTCAGATACTTAAGGATAGAAAACAGATCCTTCCTAAATTCTTCGAAAAGTACAAGACAAGCAAACACTTTTAAACTCATTTTGTGATGACATTAACATAACTCCAAAGATGCTGTAAAGCGAGTAGGACCATAGAGAAAGCTGAGCGCTGAAGAATTGATGCTTCTGAACTGTGGTGTTGGAGAAGACTCTTGAGAGTCCTTTGGACTGCAAGGAGATCCAACCAGTCCATCCTAAAGGAGATCAATCCTGAATGTTCATTGGAACATTGGAAAGACCCTGATACTGGGAAAGATCGAAGGCGGGAGGAAAAGGGGACAACAGAGGATGGGATGTTGGCCGGCAACACGGACTCGACGGACGTGAGTTTGAGCAAAGCTCCAGGAGCTGGTGATGGCCGGGGAAGCCTGGTGTGCTGCAGTCCATGGGGTCTCAAGGAGTCAGACACGACTGAGCGACCGAACTGAACTGAAAGATGCCGTAAGAAAAGACATCTGCAGGCCAAAATCCATTAGAAAGATGTAAAATCTTCAGTGAAATGCTAGCAGACAGAACCCAGCAGCATACTGAAAGGACTGTATAGTCATCTCCAGTGCTATCTTATCAGGAATGAATGGGGCTGTTCAGAAGTTAATCGGTGTCATACCACCACCTCAATAAAAACACGTGGTCATCTCAATTGATGTAGAAAAAGCATTTAAAACTTTGAAGAAACACAAGCCTTTTTAAAAAATAATAGCTGCTCTCAATAAAATTGAAATAGAAGAGCATTTCCTTCATGTGATTTAGGATATTTGAGAAAAACATGTACACCACACTCAGGGGAGAAAGGCTGAAAGTTCTCTCCCTAAAGATGGGAGTAAGTCGGTGATGCCCACTTTTGCTTTTCATTTCAAAATTGTAATGGAAATCTGATGAGCAATTAGCAAGACATCTATCAATAGATATATAGATACATGTCTTGCTTAGACAGCATAAAATCTGCTTGCAATGTGGGAGTCCGGGTTTGATCCCTGAGTCAGGAAGATCCCCTGGATAAGGAATGGCAACCCACACCAGTATTATTGCCTGGAGAATGGTGTGGGCAGAAGACCCTGGCAGGCTACAGTCCATGGGGTTGCAAAGAATCGGACATGACAGGGCAACAAACTCTTTCATATCAGTAGAATTAAGAAATAAATCCAGGCAATTGATTTTGAACTTGTATATCAAGATCATTCATAAGAGAAAAACAGTCTCTTCAGCAAATGGTCTGGGGAATCCAGATGCCCACATGCCACAGAATGAGGATGGAGCCTTACCTCACATCAAAGAAAACCAACTATGGAACAAGGACCTAAATTTAAGACCTAAAATGGAAGCATCTTGGAAGAAAACATAGGGATAAATCTCATACCCTTGGGTTTGACAATATCATACCCTTGATGTGACATTTAATAGAATGGCAATTATACAAGAGACAAAATTAAAAAACAGAAAAATTGGGCTTTATCAAAATGAAAACCTTTTGTGAATGAAAGGGCAATCTCAAAAGAGTATAAAGAAGACCCAAATAATGGTATAAAATATTGGCAAATAATCTTATAAAGGTCTTGTATCCAGAGTACATAAAGGACTTTTACACAAGAGTATAAACACAACATCATTGCAAATAATAGACATTTCTCCAAAGAAGATACACAAATGGCCTGTGAAACGCATGGAAGGGCGATCAGCATCACCAGGTATTAGAGAAATGCAGGCCAGCGCCATGGGGACACGCCGCCTCACACCCGCTGGGACAGCTATAATGCAGTAAACAGAAAATAACAGATGGCGAGGATATTGATGAATTGGAATTCTTGTACATTGCTGGGTGGGGGGGTGCCTTGGAATGGGGGAGTGGGCAACAGGAAATGAGTGCTACATGGCTGCAGGGTTTCTTTTGGGGGTGATGAAAGCATTATGGAACCAGATAATGGTGATGGTGCACAGCATAGTAAATGTTGTTAATGCCACCAAATTGTACAGTTAAATATGTCTGAAAAGTTGAACTTTTACTTGAAAGTCAACTCATAAAGCACCATAAAGAAACCATAAAGTATGTGAAAAGAAAAAGAAAGCAGAAAAAGGATACCCTCACAGGAAGACTGGTTCTGGAGGTGACACCGGCTGGGTTTCATGAGCAGCTACTGGAGGCGGGTTCGGGGCTTTGTGGGTTGGTGGCAGGAACAGGCTGAGCTCGGGGGCTGGTGCTGCTGTTGACTCTTGCTGCGTCGACTGCACCAGCCGTACCTCTGCACGGGGCTCCAGAGCGGGCTCTGGGGCAGGAGGTGGAGGAGAGCTAGATCTGGGGCTGATTCTAGTCCTGAGACTTGCACTGGCTCTGTCTCTGGAATTGATGCTGGAGCAGGTTCTGGCTCTGGACCTGGGGATGGAGCTGACTCCAGCATTGGTGACAGAGCCACCCTGTCTCCTGGATGATGGTGACGGGAGGCTGGAGCTCCTCCCAGCTTTGGTGTTGGAGCTCGAACTCTTGTTGAAGCTGCTGTTGGCTCTGGGGACTGCACACGCCTTAGCGTGGAAGTAGTACTAGAGCTGGTTCTGGACAGGACGTAATACTAGAGCTGGTTCTGGACCAGACTCTGATTTGAGCTGGTTCTAAGTCTAGGCCTGGTGCTAGAACTATCATTGGAGTTTCCACAGGAGCTGGTAATAAAACTGGCTCTCTCTTTGTCATGTGTGATCAGATTGGCATTTGAGATTTTTCTACCTCTAGTTTTGGTGCTAGAGCTGATACTGGCGCTGTTTCCAGCCCTGATGGTGGTGCTAGAACTGCCGGTAGCTCTGGAGCTGGGGCCGGCCTGGGCTCGGACCCTGGAGCTCATGCTTGAGCCAGGTCGTCCTCTGAACCTGGCATTGCCTCTGACTCTGTGACTGTCGTTGGAGCCAGTGCTGGCTCTTGATTAGCCAGCCTCAGGGCTTCCCTGGTGCCTCAGAGGTTAAAGCGTCTGCCTGCAATGCGGGAGACCTGGGTTCGGTCCCTGGGTCGGGAAGATCCCCTGGAGAGGGAAATGGCAACCCACTCCAGTATTCTTGCCTGGAGAATCCCATGGACAGAGGAGCCTGGTGGGCTACAGTCCAAGGGGTCGCCAAGAGTGGGACACGACTGAGGGACTTAACTTTCGCTTTCCAGTGAGGGGAAGGGGTGGTATCCTTTTTTTCAGGGATGGGCATGCTGCCAGGAAGGCAACCATTCAAAAGAGGTTGGTACCCAGAGAGGTCTGAATGAGAGGACCAAGAGGACACTCAGCCTCCCGAGCTCACAAGGATGCTCTCACACATGTTGCCATTGTTCGTGTCCATGGTGGATGATGCAGTGTTGCCCACGTGCTGGATGCAGTGAGCAGGTCTGGTTGCAGACCCCTGAGACAGAGTGTGTGGGTGTGTGGTTGAAGCTCAAAAGGGGGAGGTGATGCTGGGGGCCGAGCTGATGCCAGATCTTCTCAGTAATCATGGAGACAGCATGATCAGCAGATTCTCTGGACCCTGCAGGGCACCGGAGGCTGACGACCCACTCATGGGCTTCTAGAAACTCTGTTTAGGAGCCAGGACTTCCTGGCCCCTTTTTTGGGTGTGGAGTGGGGAGCTCCGGTCCAGGAATGGAGGGGCTGGAAAGGGATGTCAGGGAGAAGGGGTGGGCAGTGACCTTCTTTGGCTGGACATCTGAGGACTCGGCCAAATCTCATATCATTTCCTACACTCTGAAGCTGGAGGAGCTGGCCGAGTGCACGGTGAGCACGTGGGCAGAGTCCCCGCTGCAGACCTCTGCCCCGATCTGAGCTGGTCACGGCACTAAGGTGGGAGCTGCCCCTGGTCCTGAACTCTGTCGGGGACCAGGGGACTACGGGGCAGAGCCGGCTTTGCAGTGGTTAAATCCACAGGGTGAATGATGCCCGGTGGGACCCTTGGGCACAAATGACAGTGACCTGTACTAGGAACTTGTGAGGAAACTGTACAGAGGGCAGGGCCTGGATGGTGCACAGGGCTGAGGCCCATGGGTGATGCTCCTTGGCAAAGTCAGGTCGTCCTTTGGACCCCAGAGATGAGAAGGCATCTGAGGCTACAGGTGGTCTACTGGAGGTCGGGTCAGCCTGTTGACTGGTAGGCATCATGCTGGCAGCAGGAGAGGTGCAAGGTGAAACTGGGCCTGGAGGTGACCTGGGCTGGCAGGTGGGGGGAAGGTGCCCACCTGACCAGTCTGTAAATAACTAATTACCTAGTTACAGATGCTGGGGAGGGCAGCCAAGTGACTGGCCAGTGCTGAGGACCAATTAGAAGGTGCCCTTCGCAATCTTGAGTCCCTTCTGCTTTGGGTGGGGGAGGATTGAGTTGGCTCTATGCCTGACCTTCACCACTTTGCTGAAGGCCGTCTCTGTCAGGACACTGTCACAGTTGGTGGTCGAGGTCATACGATGGAACATGTTGGCATTTTCAAGGGTCTTCACCTCTGTGATGGAGGGTCAGTTGAACTCACGAAGGGGCTACGGAGCAGGGAGAAGGAAACATAGAGACAGGAAGCAGACTCCTGACTGTCAGGGGTTGAGGGAGTGGAACTGGGGCATGGCTGCTAAATGGGCGCAGGGTTCCCGTTGAGGAGATAAAAGTGTCTGGAATTAGAGGGCGATGGTGCGCACAGCACAGAGAATGTGGTTAATGCTGCTGAATTGTACAATTTAAAACAATTGCAGGGCTAATTGTCATTGAATTTGAATTTGAACACATGAAATATAAAACCAAAGATGACATACAAGAGAAAAGTAAGAAAAACTTGCTTCCTGGGCAGGTGAGCGAGCTCTGGGGCTGGAGCTGCTGGGGCTGGAGGTCAGTTGTTGGAGCTGAAGGTGTCGCAGAGGTGGAGCCAGCCCCAGAGCGGGAGCTGCGGCTGATGCTGAGATGCTGCTGGCCCAGCCGAGGGTCTGGCCCAGGAGCAGTGCCCGCGCTGGGGCTGAAGCCGGCCCTGTCTCTGGTCGTAGTACTGGAACCGGCTCTCGACCTGACTCTAGTGCTGAGGCTGACTCTAGGTCTCTGGTATTACTCCCAAATTCGGTGCAAGAACCAACACCTGCAGAGGCTTCCATTGTGGAGCAGGTCCCTGTGTTTGGGTGGAAGGGGCTTTGGTTCTGAGCTGGCCCCAGCTCTAGCTCAGTAGCTGGCGACAGAGCTGACGTTAGTCCACGTTGGTCCAAATTGTGGGGCTCTCAGTGACCCTATCTTTGTAGGTCAAGGTAACCCTAGCTTTCCTGCGTGTATCAGATGTGCCTCTACTTACCCAGGGGGCAAACAGTCCTGTGAGGACTCTGGCTGTCTTCCTGGTCCTGGTGCAGATGTTGGCCAGGCTCCAAACTGCTGCTATAACTGGTTGTGCCATGGGTGCCAGTTCCCGGGGGTCTGCTGAAGATGGCACTACAGCCAGTGACAGAAGTGACTCTAGTCTAGAGCTGCTTTTAGTTCTGTAGCTGTTTCTGCAGCTGGATCTAGATCTCAGACGGTAATAGACCTGGTGCTGGAGCCAGCTCCGCTCTAGATCTTGAGATGTCGCTGAAGCAGCAGAAGGAGGAAAGGACTGCCTTTCCGTGTGACTTCCCGAAGAGAGACTCATCCTGCAGCCTTCCCCCGCAGTGCAGGGCTGGCTCCCGAATGGGAGCTGATACCGGGGCCGGCTCCGAGCCTGGTGGTGGTGCGAGAATTGGTGGGAGAGTTGGTGATGGAGATGGCCTTAGCTCTGGAGTTAGAGCCAGAGCTTGCTCTTGTTCTGGAGCTGGTCTGAGCGGCAGCCGGCTCTAGTCTGGGGCTGGCACGGGCTGCAGCTCAGTAGTCGCTGTCAGGGTGGGCACTAGTCTATGAATGGGGCACGTCCTAGTGCTTCAGGGGGCTCCGGCCCTGGAGCTGACTCCAGAGCCCACTCTAGCTCCACAGCTGGTGCAAGATGTTGTGCTGGAGATGCCCTGGCTCTGCCCGCCCCACCTCCCCCGCCCCGCGGCCGTGGCTGAGATGCTGCCCCCTGTGGCCGTGAGCTCCGAGGAATCAGTGGCATCTAGGATATAAGACGTGATATTTCATCTGACTGCACCCAGCAGGGAATAGTGCACAGACGCTCAATGCATGCAAGAGTAAATGAATGAACCCAAGCCATTGCCCCCTCATTCACAGATGGACAAAATCCACATGATGATCTGAACTGATGTAGAAAAGGGACAGGACAAGATTCAACACCTTTTCATGACAAAAAAGACTCAACAAACTAGGAATAAATGGAAACTACTTCAACATAATAACGGCCATTTCTGAGAAACCCACATTAAATTAACACTGAGTGATGGCAGACTGACGTATTTTCTCTAAAAGCAAGAACAAGGCAATGGTGTTGATCTGCCATTTATATTCAGCACAGTACTGGGAGTCCTGGCCAAGGCAGTTAGGCATGAAAAAGGAAAGATATTCAAGTTTGTAGGGGAGAAGTAAATTACCTCTGTTTTCATATGATGTGATCTTGTATGTGGGGACTCTTATTTAAAGATTTCACCAGAAAATACTGTAGGACTAATAAAGTAATTCAGCAAAATTATTGGACACAAAGCCAGCCCACAAATGAGTTGCATTTCTGTATGCTAAGACTCAACAGTCTAAAATTTAGATTCCATTTACGATGGCATCAAAAGGACAAAATACTTAGGAAGAAATCTAACCAAGAAAGTGAAAGACTTGTAAACCGAGAGCTACAAGACGTGGCTGAAATTAAAGACACAAACAAATGGAAAGAAACCTCATGTGCATAGTTTTAAAAGACAGTGTCACTACAATGTTCATACTACCAAAAGCAATCTACAAAGTCAGTGCAGTCTCTAGCAGTCTTTGCATTTTATTTGCAGAAATAGAAATATTTATCTAAAATCTGTTTGCAATCTCAAGGGAACCTGAGCAGCCAAAACAAAATTTTAAATTGCAACGTAGGAGGATGCCACCTCCTGACTCCAGAACACATCACAAATCTTTGTTAATCAAGATGGCGTGGCACTGGCATGAAAATAAGTAGACCAAAGGGACAGCATAGACAGCCCGTAGATGAGCCCTGGTGTGTTTGCTCAGTTGACCTTCAGTAGGGAGCCAGGGACACAATGGGGAAAGGACACTCTCTTCAGCAAATGGTGTTGGGAAAACTGGATATTTATGTGCAGAACAAAAATGGGCCCTTATCCCATACAAAAATTAACTCAAAATGGATTAAAGACCGAAACGAAAGTCCAAAATCTGTGAAACCCCCGAAATGAAAGGGGAAGCGCTCACGACACTGATCGATAATGACTTTCTGTACGTGACAGCGGTCACAGGAAACACCACCAGCAAAGTGGTCAGGTAGGCCCACGTCAGAGGACGTGCAGATGAAGGGACAACCCGCAGCACCGCAGGAAATATTTGAAAATCGTGTATCTAGCAGTGGGTTAATATCCAGAAGGAGTGAAGTACTCCTACTTGTTGAAAAATTGCCAGAGGACTTGAATAGACGTTCCTCCCATGATACACAGGTGGCCAACAAGCATATGAAAATGTGCTTAAAATCACTAATCATTAGAGCAATATAAACCCCAAACACAAAGAGATAAAATCTCACACATCAGATGAGGCTGACTGCTTAATTAAAAATAGAGAAGATACCAAGTGTTTGCAAAGATGTGGAGAAGCTGGGACTCGCCTGCATTGTTGATATGGTTTTAAAAGGCATAACCACTATGGGAAACAGTATGGAGATGACTTAAAAAATTAAAAAATACAATTGCTTTGTCATCCAGTATTCCAACTCTGTGTATATATCCAGAATTGAAAGCAGAGTCTGGAAGAGAAATTTGGATGCTCATATTTCACAATAGCCAAGGGGTCGAAGCACCCCGATGTTCAGTAGTGAATGAATGGATAAACAAATGTGGTTGAGTCATACAGTGCAATATTATTCAACCTTATAATGGAAAGAAATCCTGGTATATGTCATAGATGAATCTTGAGGACATTATGATAAGTGAAATAAGCCATTCACAAGAGATAAGCACTGTTGAATCCACTTCTAGGAGGCATCTAAAGTGGTCTTACTCTTGGAAATGGAAACTATAATGGTGCTTACCAGGAGCCTGGGGGCAGGGGAGACGGGGGAGTCTTGTTTGGGGTGTGGAGTTTCCGATTTGCAAGACGAAAAGCTCTGGGTGGAGATTTGTTTCACAACAGTGTAAATGTACTGAGCACTACTGACCTGTGCACTTAACATGGTTAAGGTGGTAAATTAAATGTTATAACTTAAAAAAAAACCGCACAATAAAAAAAGTAATTCTATGTGAAGCTGTTTAAATCGAGACCAACACAGACTTACTTATATGGACAATTTCATCAGAAAAAAATGGACAGAAGATTTGACTAGGCATTTCCCAAAAAAAGTCACCAAATGGTGGTGATATGCACATTATTACTCCTTAGGTACATTGCTTTAGGAAAATGCAGACTAAAGCCATAGCGAGATATCATCACACATACACCAGAGTGGTTGAGATAAAAACATCCTGTAGTGGTGGTGAGGATGTGGGCATTTCAGATCTCTCATTCATGGCTGTTTGAGTATAAATTGTTGAATCCCCTTTTTGAGGTTGTATTGATAGGAATGGCTTCCCCAGTGGCTTAGTCAGGAGAGAATCTGCCTGAAGTACAGGAGACTGATGCAGGAGACGTGGATTCCATTCCTGGGTTGGGATGATCCCCTGGAGGAGGAAATGGCAATCCAGTCCAGTGTTCTTGCCTGGGAAATCCCATGGACAGAGGAGTGTGGCGGCTTACAGTCTGAGGAGTCTCAAGAGTCACACACGACTTAGCAACTAAACCACCATCACCACAACCACTGATAGGGATAGAGTAGGATAATTAGAAATGCCACTGGGGGATTAAAGACAGAACAGAAATTTTAAGGGAGTTTGGGAGACTGTTGTAAGCTAATGACCACTCAAGAGAATGCAAGGAAGCTGTGGCACATATACACCATGGAATATTACTCAGCCATTAAAAAGAATTAATTTGAATCAGTTCTAATGAGATGGATGAAACTGGAGCCCATTATACAGAGTGAAGTAAGCCAGAAAGATAAAGACCATTACAGTATACTAACACATATATATGGAATTTAGAAAGATGGTAACGATAACCCTATATGCAAAACAGAAAAAGAGACACAGATGTACAGAACAGACTTTTAGACTCTGTGGGAGAAGGCGAGGGTGGGATGTTCTGAGAGAACAGCATTGAAACAAGTATACTATCAAGGGTTAAACAGATCACCAGCCCAGGTTGGATGCATGAGACAAGTGCTCAGGGCTGGTGCACTGGGCAGACCCAGAGGGATGGGATGGGGAGGGAGAGGGGAGGAGGGATCGGGATGGGGAACACATGTAAATCCATGGCTGATTCATGTCAATGTATGGCAAAAACCACTAAAATATCATAAAGTAATTAGCCTGCAACTAATAAAAATAAATGAAAAAAAACCCCAAAATATTATTTTAAAAAAGAAAAGACAATCCAGTAACCTAGTGACAATCTGCACTACTTTGAAGGAAGACAGGTGCATCCAAGTGCCAGGAACACTCAAGCCTCAAGCCACAATCCCAGAGAGTTAAAGCACAAGACATAAGATTTGGGGCTTCTGAATCTCGTTCCATGAAGTCAGGGACTTGATAGTTCTTGAAGGGTAGCATTTCTGCATGTAGCCAAGATAGAAATGTAGGTGCAAGGGGAAAAACTAGGTGAAAGAGGACATTATACTGAAAGCTGAGATGAGTTATCATGTTTTAGTCTGTGTTACCATCCTTATGCTAACTGTACATTTGATTTAAATAGTGCCATGACAGTCCTAGCTAGACCCTATAGGGTCAGAAGAGGAACTAATGATGTAAGCCTTGAAGTCTGCCCAAGAATGAGGAAGAAGGTGGGGGTCTCCCCTGCCCACTTTTGTTTACAAAAATAAAGCCCTCTCAGTCCTCAAGGCAGAGCCTGCTCACCTGTCCACTTGTATGTCTCTCAAGCACGGATGCTCATAAACTCACTCTTTGCCTCCCACTTTGCCTCGCGTTCAGTTCTTTCTGTGATGAGACAAAAAAACCCTGAGCTTCAGTAAGTCCTGACACCTGGTTAATGGTTTCAGTGAAAAGACAGTGGGTTCAAGTTCCCTCCTAAGTCAGGGATTGTGGGTTTAAGTTCTACCTGAGTTGCGGGTGGGTTTGAGTCCCACGCGAGGAGTGCAGTTTCAATACTTTCTAAAGATACACTTATTCTGTCCCTGCACTTCTGCTCAGACATGCTACCCAGCACAGGTGCAGTATTTCACCGTTACATTTCCTCTGGCTGCTATAGGAAAGCCCACCCTGTACAATAAGCGATACTTTCAACATTGCAGAAATATAAATTTTTAGTAACTTCAAGTTTGGCTGTAAAACAAGGTTACATTTTACATGTGCATTAATGGCTTGAAAAAAATGATTTTGGAGCCTAGTTTTATTAAGAGCAGGAATAGCTTCCAAAGACCTGAGGCTCCTATGTAATGGACAAGTCTGTCTCCGGTGGGTGGAAGGATATGAACAAGGCTGATGGGGCATTTGAACCATGCAGTGAATGAAAAAGCTTCTGCCTCAGGCAGAGAAAATGTTCTCAGAATCTGATGTAGATCTTTTCCAGCTTTATGATGGTCTCAGCACATCAAAGACTGCCAAGTGGCTATTCCACGCATCCTCTGAAACAGCGGTTCTCGAGTCATCAGTAGCATCAGCTACCAGTCAGAAACGCAGGTGCTCTGCACACACGCCACCTGCTCAATTCGGAAATCCTGGATGAGGCCCAGCAGACGGTGTCAATAGGGAAGGTGTTTGTCCTCTCTGCTCGGGCCACTTCGACTCTCATGATGGTGTCGTTTGGTCTAGAGAATTTCTTAATTTTATAAAGATCCAATGTACCAATATTCCCTTTTGTTAGTGTAGTCTGTGTTCTCAGAAGTCTTTGCTTACTCCAAGAACAAAAGTGTTCTATTCTACGAGAACTGTCATCGTTTTAAACTCTCACAACCAGGCCCAATATCCACCTTGATCTTTTTTTAAAAGTATTTTGCTTTTATTTTGCCTAATTAAGGTCATGCTGTGTTTACAGTGTTCACACCTGATTTTTGTACATCTAGTATTTCATCATTTTACATTGTTTTATAAAACTTTTCTAAAAGTGTTTTTTATTTTATTTTTTTAAATTGTGAAAGGATGATAACACATTTAATATTTACAGGAGACTTGGAAAATATAGAGCTAGTATGGTTCCACTATATATTACTATTTTTTAAAAAGTAAATAAATTAAGCTTTTTAGTTGAAGTTTTAATATCAAACTCCCCAAAATTACTAGAATAAATATATAGAGAAGTAGAAGGATATGGTAGACCTGAAAAGCACCATGAACCAATTCAACATAATTAAGCTCTATATAAATGTCACACAACAGTAGGATACAAATTCTATTCAAGTTCCCATAGGCTGTAAAGCAGCACACACTGGAACATATCCAGGGAGGTAAAACAAGGTGCAAAAACTCCATGGTCTCAAAGTTATTGAAACCACACAGAGTCTATCCTCTTAGCGCTGTCTCCACCTTGATCTTTATTTATGATGTGAAATGAGAGCCAAGATGGACTTTTTTCCCCAAATGAGTAACAGGTGGGCCTGGACCGTTCGCTGAGAGCGTCCCCCCACTGCTCTGCAGTGCCTCTCAGTTACAAGTGCGATGCCTCTGTGCCCGTGCTGGACTGCACTTACGTGGGAGGATGCAGGGTCTGCTCTTTAGGTCTGGATCCCCTCAGCAGGCCGGTCAGAGTCGTGACCGTCGCCCTGTGCGGGTCCGGGCTGGACCCCATCCTTTCCTTGGCTGTGTGCCTGGCCCCGCCCCACTGCTCCAAGTCCTGGAGCTTCGCAAGAAGTCTGGATGCCTGCTGGTGAAGCCTTCCACTGTCTTCTTCAAGATCATCCTACGTGTTCTCAGCCTTTGTATTTTTATGTAAATGTTCAAATCATCACATCAGTTTCTCCCCGAGATGTCTGCTGAGGTATTATAAAGGAGGTGTTAATGTATAGATATTAACAGATTGGGAAAGAACTGACATCTTGACAATGTGTACAGGTAAAGCACATAAAAACAATCAGCTGGGACAGATACCTGCACCTCATGTCACAGGCACAGTGGCTTGACCGCCTTATATAAAGTCGTTTAGATTTTAAAAAGAAAAAAGCAGTCATGCAGAGAATATGCACAAAAGGCACTGTCATTCACTTAAAAAAATAGAGACTTAAGCACAAGGAAGTATACTCAGTTCTGGTTATAATCTCTCTCTCTCTCTCACACACACACACACACGAAAGACCTGATAAGCTAAAAGAATACTCGAGCTGTATACAAAGAGGAACTTTTATTCTATGCTGTAGAAACACCTCTACACTTGACATGTAAATGTTTTATTTCCTGCACCTTCCTCATCAGAGCAAAAGACTGGAAACATCCCAGCTCCCTCCACTAGGGGAGAGAGTACCTGATGACGGTCCACATGAGTAGACACAATGTTGTTGGGGAAGAAAATGAGCAAGATGAGGGAAGGGAGGAAGACCTCTGAGAGCTGACCTGGAAAGATCGCCCTGACCGCTGGCAGGGCTGATTCTCACTGGACAGTCCCCTGGACTTTGCTGCCTTTTCCAAGCACCTCCAGAAGCGCCTGGACCTGTGTGTCCTCAATGCCCTGATCTTTAAGGCCACCAGGGGTCAGAGCCCAGGACTTCTAGCCCAGCTCATCTATTAGTCAAAAGGGGAACCCTAACCAGTTCCCTAGGAAAACACTGTCTGACTCCCCTGCCGATCGCATACCCTACCTTGGGGTTCTATTGAGAAGACACGCAATGGAGAGTTCTTCCATGTGCATCTCAGAGGATCAAGACCAACTTCACAGAGGAGCCTAGAAGCGAATATCTTACACGCGTCTCACAGAGGGCAAAACTGGGGACAGTGAAGGGAATGGCTACAGAGGGAAAACGGGCAGCCTGGGCACTCAGACTGAGGAGTGCCCGGGGGTTGACTCTGGGAGGGAAGGGGTGCAGGTCACTCGGAAGCACCACCGGGAGGAGGTGGGCTGCAGGGCCCCTGTGATTCTGCATCCTGAGCTGCTCCTGTGTCAGGAAATGCGGTGTAACTGACAGATACCTGCAGAAGTGGGGAGATAGCGCAGTGAGGGGCCGTGTGTGTTGCTCCAGGCTTTTCACGTGGTTGCCGTGGTACATGAGGAAGGCCAGGCCAAAAGTCACTTCCTGGGTTTAGGAGATCACAGCTGAAAGGTCGGAAGAAACAGACACATGTTCCCGTTAGCAGCCTGGGCCGGGTGGGTGATTTCTGTCTTGTCCAGCCCTCTGCGCTCCACAAAACCCTCGAAGAGTCTCAGGGCCTCTGGGTTCTCATCCGGGGTGCGGCCTGCAGGGGAGACTCGTGAAGGTGGGTCCGGGAAGTTGTGGCCCGCCGACCAAGCCCGCGTCGGGAAAGCTGTCGTCTCAGCCGGGGCCCTCTGGGCACAGACAGGACACCTGCCCGCTGTCCCCGGGGACAACCCCAGGCTGGAGCCTGCCTGCCAAGACCCCCAAACAGGTGGGGCCCTCCAGAACCTTCAGGCACAGGTGCCTGTGAGTGCCATTTGGGGCAGGAGCCGCCCACATGCTTGGGAGCTCTGGGGTGAAGGCTCCAAGGAAAGGGGGCCCACCCGCCCCCTGGTCCTGCAGGGCAGAGAGTTGCTCTGCTGGTGGATGGTGGGGAAACCCCCAGACACACCTCCCCCCTATGCCCTGTCTTCTCAGCCTCGGAGGAAGGACCTCCAGCATTTGACGGCTTGGTGGGGGTGGGAGGTACCACACCAACTGAAAGGGACCCAGCTCTCTGTGCCTGATCTCCAGGGTCCAGTGACCTTCCCATCTCATCGTCCTCACCCTGAACCAGCCCCCCAGTCCCTCCTGAGGGGGCCTCCATTTTCCCCAGCATGGCCAGGGTCCCCCTGCCCCCACCCTGCACAGGCACTCATCCTAGAATCGGCTGGTCTCTCGATGCGGCCCTCGGCCCCCCAGGGCGTGTGCCCCTTCGAGCTCCCTGGGCCCGGCCTCTCCCTGCGGGAGCCAGGGGCTCAGAAGCTGCACCCGAGCCCCCCCCCAGCGGGCAGTGGCGCATCGCACCCGCATCCAGGCCTTCCCGGCTCTGTCCGCCAGGGGCGTGCGCAATCCAGGGAAGGGCGGGACCTTGCTCAGGGTGGAGGGTTGTCCTACACAGGAAAGTGGGGTGGGCGGTGAGGAGAGAAGGCACCTGGGAGATGCTGCCTGGAGCGGGGAAGAGTGCGGCGACCCGGGGACCCTGGGGAGGGGTCTGGGTGTCCCTGAGGGCCCTCGTGGTCTGTCGTGATAATGGGAAGGCGAGACCAGCCCCCACGCGACCCCGGCCTCTGCCCCGCTCATGGTGGGGCAGGTGCACACGAAGCCGAGCGCTGGGCTCCCAGGGTGGGCTTCACCCAGCCAGGATCCGGGGAGGATGGGTGTTGGGGACCGTCTCAGAGCCCGGCAGGTGCAGTTAGGAGGGACGTGATGCCAAGGAAGGAAAGTAGGCATGGGGCAATGTTGTCAGGAAAAGAGCCGGCGGGCTGGTGACGTGTCAGGGGAAGGAACCCACGATAAACCGGCGGGAAAGACATGGAGTAGGTGCTGGCTAGTGGGGGCTGGCCACGAGTAGGGGTGTTGAAATGTGTTGAGTGAGGCTGAGGCAGTAAGTGGTGGGGGTCCAGGGAAGGAAGGGAAGAGGCCAGGGCCTGAGGGTTCAGGATATTGGACGGGGGAGGAAGAGTGACCAGGAGGGCTTCCCTGGGGCCTCGGTGGTAAAGAATCCGCCTGCCAATGCAGGAGACACAGGTTCAATTCCTGGTCCAGGAGGATCCCACGTGAGAAGCCCACGTACTGCAACTAGAGAAAAGCCTGGGCAGCAACAAAGACCCAGCACAGCTAAAAATAAAGAAATCATTTTTTTTAAAAAAGAGTGACCAAGAGAGGTCAGCTGTGTGATGGTGGCAGACAGTGCAGGCTCACACACACACGCACACACCCCAATCAGTGAACGGGGTGCAGTGCAGTGTGACCCAAAGGCTGAGCGCTGCTACCGGAGGTGCCCACGCAGGTGGGCAGCGCCTCTGTGGCCAGGCTGCCGCCCTAACGGCCCGTCCTGCCCTGGAGCTCTTCTCTGAAGAATGCATTATCTGGAGGTGCCGGCTGCTCATCACGTCTTGAAGTAAGCCAGGCCCTGCGTCCTCTCCTTGATGAACCAGGTTCGGATGATGGCTCTCCACCCTGGAAGGGACACAGGTTGGACTTGCTGGGGCCCATGGGGTCAGAGGGGGTCCCGGAGCCCGAAGGAGGGTGACTAGGGGGAGGAAGGAGGCCTGTGCGGGGTGCCCTGAGGTCAGGAGGGGCGGGCTCCCGCTGCCCCGTGGAGGGAGGCAGGGGCTGGGGGCCGCGGGGACCAGGCACCATGTCCCCTCTGTAGTGGCCTCAGCATGGCTGCCGGCAGCTGAGGCTCCGGAGGCTCATCCCTGTGGGTTCTCCCAAATGTTTCAGGGAGCGGGCGGGCAGCTGACTCGTGGCCCTCAGAGGGCCTGCTGCGTCTGCGGATGAAATAAGGGCAGATGGCAGGCACTGTGCCAACAGGCGTGAGTCCCCCAAGCGCGGGGCCCGGTAAGTGTGGGGAGCACAGGCGTCCCGTCCCTGGGTGCAGGGCCAGCCTCAGTGAGAACGGTCCTTGCTGGGGGCAGGGCGTGGCCTGGCAGAGGAGCTCCTGGGCTCCAGAAAACTGGAGGAAGTTGGTTCTCAGATGTGGTGCAGAAGCACCATGAGCTGGTGTTGTGAGCAGCCGGGGGACTGACAGATCTGAGCGCAGGACAGAGAACTGCCAGCCCCCACCTGCCCGTGCAGAGCTAAGGTTTTCAGGGGACAGAGAAGCCCAGTCTCTCACGTTCAGGGGCCGGGTGTCCCCTCTGACATCCCGATGGGAATGCCGTCTCCCAGACACCTGGAGACCCGGCCCTCCGTGTGGCTGAGCCAGTGGTCACTTACAGCATTGGAATTTCCCAGGTGATAGTTCCTGGAAGGGCATTTTAAACAGAAGGCATCCTCTTGGCTTCCTGGAAAACAGAAATGACCTTGGAGCCCATGTCTGGTGATGGAAGTGTCCCAGAATCTGGAGTAGGGAGCCCTGGATTCTCAAATAAAGGGCCCCCTCCTTCCCTGCTCTGTCCGCAACCTGCCTCCTTCAACCCAGGGTTCGTCTCCAGCTCATCCTCCCAGCCAGCTTCTGCCCTGTCAGCGCCCCTCACCACCCCACCCTCCCCAAGGCTTCCAGGACCTTGGCCCGGAATTCTGTAGCATCTTTGCTCAAACAAAACAAGAGGATGGTTTCAACACTGTGGTCCCTGCTGTCTCCTTTCAGATGCTCTGGTGTCCTGCTCTTCCAAAGCAGGTGGACACCTACGCCCTCCCCCATCCATGTCCCCAGCCAGCACCGACTTGGCCATGCAGAACGATCGGTCACAAGTTATCCGAGGAAGCTTGCAAATTTCTTTTCCCCCAGACCTCAGCCTGGATGAAGTCCCCCCATCTCAAGCCCGGTGAGGCCTCAGGCAGCAGGACTGGCCTTACTCTTGGACCAAGCTTGCCTACCTGTTGCTCAAGGAGGCTGTGAATGTTTGGGGTGAGAACACATCTTCTTTACCTGTGTGTCTCCAGAGCCCAAGGTGGTGCAGACCAACACGCAGCAGGTGCGGGGGACTGGGGTGGGGGTGGGGAGGAGCTACCGGGAAGGTCAGTGCCCTGACTGGCTCCCCTCCCGCCACGAGGGCACGGGGCTTGGAGCCTCTCGTTATGGGACCTTCAGAACTACACCATCGGGTCTGTTGTCAGAAACACGAGATCATCTTGCTGATGGCACCCAGCGCGATCCCGGTGGGGCTGTTAACCTGCATTGGTGAAGACCCCGAGCCTGTCCCGCACCCGCCCCACCTACAGCGCTGAGCTGCAGGATAAGCCCGCCGGGGGCCCACCAGGCGCATCAGCATAACCACTGGCCCGCCCGTCCTCTGCACGAGAGGCCTCCGTTCCTCGTCTCCGCAGAAGCCAGTCCCAAGGTTTGCCGTGTGCCTAGCTAACCAGAGAGCCTGTAAGGCCAGTCCTCCCAAGAACCTGCAGCGCTGGGCCTTGCGAGGTGTAAATGAGACAAGGCTTGTGATGCCTTGTGTTCCCCAGGCAGCTGAGGCTGAGTTCCCCCTTGGTCGGTGCTGGTGACGTGGCCTCATTTTCTCTGCCTCCACCGTCGTCACTGCTCTCATGCAGTCTGCCAGGAGAACTAGTGTATAACCACGTGGAAGACACGGGATCGACCCCAGGAGCTGCTGCCCAGGGCACAGGAAGGTCGTGAAGCCTTTTTCCAACAGCCCCAAGGTCAGGATGGGGGACCCCAAGAACTGGGGGGCGGGGAGGAGCACTCACATGATGTGCATTCTATTTCCAAAGCAGCATTGATGTTGATCACGGAGGTGAAGGTGGCAGGGGGGTGGAGCGTCTTTTCCCTGGGGATATCTAGGGTCCTGGCCCAGTGCTCTATATACCATGTTCCTAAAAGCTGGGGGGGGAAAGGATGTCTGTAATAGGAGCTTTTGTGAGGAAAATACATAATGATTGTGGGCTTCCCTGATGGTCCTGATTTTCCCAGTGGCTCAGGAGTAAAGAATCCACCTGCAGTGATACAGCTCCGTAGGGGCCGTAGGAGAAATGGGTTTGATCCTTGGGTTGGGAAGGTCCCCTGGAGGAGGAAATGGCAACCCACTCCTGTATTCTTGCCTGGAGAACCCCATGGACAGAGGAGCCTGGCAGGTTACAGTCCATGGGGTCGAAGAGTCAGACATGACTGAAGCAAATGAGTGTGGCTGGTGATCCAGTGGTTAAGAATCTGCTTTCCCATGCGAAGGACACAGGTTCGATCCCTGGTCTGGGAACATCCCAGCTGCCTCGGAACAGCTAAGCCTGTGCGCCACAACTACTGAGCCTGCGCTCTGGGGCCTGGGAACCCCAACCACTGAAGCCCATCTGCTTGGAGCCCGTGCTCCGCAACAAGAGAAGCCTCTGCAGGGGGCTGAGCGCTGCAGCAGAGAGCAGCGCCCGCTCGCCGCAGCCAGAGAAAGCCCGGACGCCCCAACAAAGACCCAGCACAGCCCAGGAAAGAAAAGTCTCTGAAAAGAAATGGCTATAGAAACATAAAACGGCTAAGAGGGCTGAGCCCTGATGTCTCTGCAATGACTAATAACTGGGCAGATGCCCTAGGAAGGTGGGCTGGGAGGTCTGGGTGGGTTGGGGGGAGGTCAGACGGTCGAGGGAGCTCTGGGAAGCAACCAGAAAGGCCCAGAAATGAAGCCTTTGTTCCGGTGGGAAGAAAGATGCCGCAGGGTGTCCCCACCCTTGGATCCGACCTCCCACCTGGTCAGCAGGGGGGCTGACCCTGGAGGGAGACCTCCTGCGAGACTGCCGTGGCCCTAGCCTCCTGAGGAGGGTGGGTTGATGAGCCCGTCGAGTGGAGATGTGCAAGGCATTGACGCCGTGAGAGTGGGACAGTTCCAGATTCAGAAGGCAGGAAGCGACCAGCGAAGGAAGAGGAGAGGAGGGAGCAAGTGTGCAGAGAGCTCACAGTGATGGTCAAGTCAGTTTAGACTGTGCCCTTAGAGGTGCCCACGTGTGCCTCATCAGTCCTGGCCTCACAGGCATCCACCCCTCTGTCTGTTCATCTCGTCTCATGTGTCCATCATCCATCCACCATCCCTCCCTCCAACTATATATCCGTTCATTTATTCATCTGTTCATCCACTTACCATCCATCCATCCACCACCCTTTTGTCTTTCACTTACCATTCATCCATCCACCATCCAACTATTATCATCCACCCATCTATCCACCCACCATTCATTTATCTATTAATCCATCCATCCACCCCCCATCCTCCCATCCTTCCCCTATCCACCCACCCTTCCACCATTCCTTTATCCATCTGCCATCCATCCATCCATCCATTCATCACCCATCCATGGGTGCATGCATCCCTCCATTCTTGCATTCCTCCACCCACTGTCCATTCATCTATCATTCATTTATCTATTCATTACTAGGTCATTGAGGAACCTGACATAGAAATTACTGTGATCGTGTGGCCTGACCTTTCTTTGTCCTGACATACTTGAGGGCCCCAGGCCCTCTAACCATTGCTCTTTCCAAACCCCATCCCCTGAAACCCAGGGCAGTTGTGTTCTGATGACAAGCACACACATGCTTGGCAGTCCTTGGGTTTGGGGCAGGACCAGTGACCAGCATTTGGTTTCCCAGCACCAGCTCCTGCCTCATCCTTGGGTCCTGGAGCTCACTTTCTTGAGAAAATGAGGATGACTCTTAGGATTGAATGAGTGCAGTCCTTTCATGGGTGGGGAAGAGGGAGGACCCAGATACGGGTATTTAATAAGGAAAAAGGGGAGGAGAGAGGAATTTGGGTCCTTAGACCCAGACGGACAAGAAACCATCAAGTTGACCATCTTTGAGAGAGGGAAGGTGGACGTGGGGAGTAAGGGGGCAGAGAAGGTTGGGGGGCCTTGGACACTACAGTGGGAGCCCAGGTGTTGGGGACCCCAGAAGCACAGGCTCGAGTCTCGGGGACATCCAGCTGACATCCCTGGGTGTGCCAAGGAGGCACCAAGGGCCCTGAGAAGGTGAGGTGTGACAGTCCCCCAGGGGAACTCAGCAGTGACCGGAGAGTGGGTGGCACCTGGACACAGGCAAACCTCAAATACTGTTCCGTTTGCACCATCATTCTCCCAAGTTTTTAGCATGCTTGATAATAATGCGTTTGATCTTTAATATTGACCCTAAATGCAGTAAGCCTTGCAAAATATAATTGGGACAATATTCTTCATGTTTATGGAAGGGCTTAAGATATGCAAAGTTCCTTGCAAACTGTGATTTTGCCCTCTGAGGGAACTACATCTTAGAAAGGCCACCTGCCTTGGCTGTGACTTCACCAGGATTAAGAGGCCAAGAGGACCCTCTGTGGGTGGAAATCTGCCCAAAGGCGCGCTGAGCCCGCACCCCTGGGGTGGGCAGGAAGACGCCATGCTCTGACAGGGGAGTGGGCTTGCCCTGGCATCACCCAGCACCCCTCCTCTGCGTGGGAGATGTCCCCAAAGACAGACAGGGGACTCTGGCCAAGTCCACCCGGGGCAGGAGCCGCAGAACTGGGACCCTAGCCTAGCACAGGCTCCTGGCCTGGGCCACACTTGTCCCCCCACCCCACCCTCACAGAGCCCTTCACTTCCTGAACGCTGGCGGGGATCAGCAGGGGCCCCTGGGCCCCCAGCATGGAGAGCAGACCCAGCCTGGCCATCAGGAGGAGCAGCTGCCCGGCCGGGGTCCCCATGTCCGTTCCGGGGGCGCCTGGCCTTCGGGTCACCCATTTACCCCCGGACTGGCGGGCCCCGCCCCCTCCCCTTCACAAAGACCCCTCATTCCAGCGGGGTGGGTGGGCAGGCATCGTTTTCTTTGGATCCCGTGGATGAAGGTTCTCAATCGTGTGTCATTGGCTCCCATGACTCTCGGGTCGGACAAGTACGGAGAAGCTTTGTCTGGGAGGAGAATGTTATCAGAACGGGAAGTGGTGCCTCTGGCTTCAGAGACAGGAGATGAGGCAGCGGCTTCCTTGTGCTCCCCTCTCCTGCCCCGCGGCCTTGACTGCACCAGCCCCGGGAAGCCTGGACCCGCCCTGGTCCCTCGAGGCCCCTGGAGAGCAGGTCCCCATCCAGGCTCCAGTTCCCGCCTTGGAGTTGATGCCCCAATATCCCCAGACCTCCTGAGCCCTAGGTGCAGCCTCAGGTCAGCTCTGAGCACCTCCTCCAGGCAGCCCACCAGGCCTACTGCAGCCCCCTTACCCCCCGCAGCCTGAATCAATCTTCCTGGGCTCTGGTCAGTACCCCAGTGAGGACTCGCGAGGCCTTGCTGACCCTCTGGAACCTTCTCTGCTCCCCACGCAGCCCGAGCCATCTGCCCTCCTCCCAAATCCACCTCCTCCCCCATCGCGGCCGCTCCTCCCTGGTTCCAGCTCCGAGGTGCTGGGGCGACTCCACCGACAGAAACTCAGAGGTCTCGCTTCCCCAGCCCCCATTCCTCTGCCTTTCTGCGCCCAGAACTTTCCACCCACGTGCAAATGGCCCCTGTGCAGGTGATTGTGCATATGTGTGTGTGTGTGTGTGTGTGAGACGTGTGTGCATCTGGGTTTGTCTGTGCACACATGTGTCTGTGCATGCGTGCCTGTCTGTGTGTATGGATGTACACGTGTGTGTATGGTGTCTTGTCTGCACAAGAGTGTGTGTATATGTGTACTGCATGTGCATCCGTGTGATATGCGTGTCTGAGTGTGTGTATGTGTGCATGTGTGTCTGTGTGAGTGTGTCCGTGTGTCTCCTCTGCATGTGTACATGTGTGTGTACGTCTGTCCGTGTGCATGTGTGTGTGTGTCTGTGAGTTAGTGTGAGTGTGTCTGTGTGTGTGTGAGTGTGTGTCTGTGTGTGTGTCTGTGAGTGTGTGTGTGTATGAGTGAGTGTGAGTGTGTCTGTGAGTGTAAGTGTCTGTGAGTGTGTGTGAGTGTGTCTGCCTGTGCGCAGGTAGGGGAAGGCTCCAGGCCGATCCCACACTGCACAGCTCTGACTCTGGTGGTGGGGGTCCCATCCCCCCCGGACCCCAGACCCTTCTGTGACCCCTCCCCCTGACCGTGCAGCCCTCTGCTGGGGGCGCGTCACGCTGAGGTCACGAGGCCGGGGCTCCCCTCCTGGGAGGTCCCCCCGCTGCTCCCGCAGGGCTCAGCCCTTCTGTGAGTCCCCCCACTGTGGCTCCTCACACGCGGTGGCCCTGTCCTCTCTGTCCGGTGGCAGGAAGGAACGTCTGCTCCGTGCAGTCAGCCTGGCGTGGGCCCTGCCCCCGAGAGGCCCCAGACCTGTCCCTCTCGCTGGTCCTGGCAGCACCACCTGCGTGCCCTTCCTGGCCAATCGAGGACCAGGTGGGGCTCGGGGCGAAGACCTGAAGGTGCGGCTGGACCAGGGGGCCGGTCAGCTCAGCGTGAGACGGAGACGATCCTGGTGATCCCGGGGCCCGTGTCATCACCCCTGATATGGGGAGGGGGCGGGAGGGGCCGGTCAGCTCAGCGTGAGACGGAGACGATCCTGGTGATCCCGGGGGCAGTGTCATCACCCCTGCTATGGGGAGGGGGCGGGAGGGGCCGGGCAGGGAGGACGTGGGGGTGGGCCGAGTCAGAGGACCAGCACGGGGGCTCCACGGGACGCTGCGGGGTCCGAAAGTGGACGGAGGGGCCACGGGCCACCAGGCCGGTGGCTCTAGAGGCCGGAAGGAGAGCAGATGGGCTCTGCCCGGAGCCCCAGAAGGAGCCGGTGCGGACAGAGAGAGCCGCGCTGGTCTGCAGGCAGATGGTGTGAGTGGGAGCATGTCAGCTCCTTCAGGAGGGCCTCGGCTGGCCACTCACGAGGGGCAGGACTCAGGAAAGGCTGTGGGGGGTGGTCTCTGGGAGGAGCTGGTCCAGGCCTTGCAGGACTGAAGGCAGATGTTTTCAAGTCACCAGGTGGGCTTTTCCGGGAGTAATCCAGCCTTGGTAAAAAAGCTATGACAAGCATAGACAGCATATCAAAAAGCAGAGACATCACTTTCCTGACAAAGGTCTGTATAGCCAAAGCTATGGTTTTTCCAGTAGTTATGCGTGGATGTGAGAGTTGGACTATAACCAAGGCTGAACACCAAAGAATTGATGCCTTCGAACTGTGGTGCTGGGGAAGACACTTGAGAGTCCCTTGGACAGCAAGGAGATCAAACCAGTCAATCCTAAAGGAAACCAACCCTGAATATTTATCGGAAAGACTGATGCTGAAGCTCCAATACTTTGGCCACCCGATGTGAAGAACCGACACATTGGAAAAGACCCTGATACTGGGAAAGATTTAAGATAGGAGAAGGGGACGACAGAAGGGATAAGATGATTGGATGGCATTACTGATTCAATGGACATGAATTTGGCCAAACTCCAGGAGATGGTGAGGGACAGGGAGGCCTGGTGTGCTATAGTCTGTGGGGTCACAGAGATATGACTTGGAGACTGAACAGCAACCACCATTCAGCTTGAGATGAGAAGCTCACCTGTGGGCAGGAGAGTGGCGTGTGTGTGTGTGTGTGTGTGTGTGTGTGTGTGTGTGACTGTCTATGTGTGTGTGTGAGTCTGTGTCTGTGTCTGTCTCTGTGTGTGTGTATCTATGTGTGTGTGTGAGTCTGTGCGTGTGTCTGTCTCTGTGTGTGTCTATCTATCTATGTGTGTGTGTGTGAGTCTGTGTCTGTGTCTGTCTCTGTGTGTGTGTATCTATGTGTGTGTGTGTGAGTCTGTGCGTGTGTGTCTGTCTCTGTGTGTGTGTATCTATCTATGTGTGTGTGTGTGACTCTGTGCGTGTGTGTCTGTCTCTGTGTGTGTGTATCTATCTATGTGTGTGTGTCTGAGTCTGTGTCTGTGTCTGTCTCTGTGTGTGTGTATCTATGTGTGTGTGAGTCTGTGTGTGTGTCTGTCTCTGTGTGTGTGTATCTATGTGTGTGTGTGAGTCTGTGTCTGTGTCTGTCTCTGTGTGTGTGTATCTATGTGTGTGTGTGTGAGTCTGTGCGTGTGTGTGTGTATCTATGTGTGTGTGTGTGAGTCTGTGTCTGTGTCTGTCTCTGTGTGTGTGTATCTATGTGTGTGTGTGAGTCTGTGCGTGTGTCTGTCTCTGTGTGTGTGTATCTATGTGTGTGTGTGAGTCTGTGTCTGTGTCTGTCTCTGTGTGTGTGTATCTATCTATGTGTGTGTGTGTGAGTCTGTGCGTGTGTGTCTGTCTCTGTGTGTGTGTATCTATCTATGTGTCTGTGTGTGAGTCTGTGCGTGTGTGTCTGTCTCTGTGTGTGTGTATCTATGTGTGTGTGAGTCTGTGTGTGTGTCTGTCTCTGTGTGTGTGTATCTATGTGTGTGTGTGAGTCTGTGTCTGTCTGTCTCTGTGTGTGTGTATCTATGTGTGTGTGTGTGAGTCTGTGCGTGTGTGTGTGTATCTATGTGTGTGTGTGTGAGTCTGTGCGTGTGTGTGTGTATCTATGTGTGTGTGTGTGAGTCTGTGTCTGTGTCTGTCTCTGTGTGTGTGTATCTATCTATGTGTGTGTGTGTGAGTCTGTGCGTGTGTCTGTCTCTGTGTGTGTGTATCTATGTGTGTGTGTGTGAGTCTGTGTCTGTGTCTGTCTCTGTGTGTGTGTATCTGTGTGTGTGTGAGTCTGTGTCTGTGTCTGTCTCTGTGTGTGTGTATCTATGTGTGTGTGTGTGAGTCTGTGCATGTGTCTGTCTCTGTGTGTGTGTATCTATCTATGTGTGTGTGTCTGAGTCTGTGTCTGTGTCTGTCTCTGTGTGTGTGTATCTATGTGCGTGTGAGTCTGTGTGTGTGTCTGTCTCTGTGTGTGTGTATCTATGTGTGTGTGTGAGTCTGTGTCTGTGTCTGTCTCTGTGTGTGTGTATCTATGTGTGTGTGTGAGTCTGTGTCTGTGTCTGTCTCTGTGTGTGTGTATCTATCTATGTGTGTGTGAGTCTGTGCGTGTGTCTGTCTCTGTGTGTGTGTATCTATGTGTGTGTGTGAGTCTGTGCGTGTGTGTCTGTCTGTGTGTGTGTATCTATCTATGTGTCTGTGTGAGTCTGTGTCTGTGTCTGTCTCTGTGTGTGTGTATCTATGTGTGTGTGTGTGAGTCTGTGCGTGTGTCTGTCTCTGTGTGTGTATCTATCTATGTGTGTGTGTGTGAGTCTGTGCGTGTGTCTGTCTCTGTGTGTGTGTATCTATCTATGTGTGTGTGTGTGAGTCTGTGTCTGTGTCTGTCTCTGTGTGTCTGTATCTATCTATGTGTGTGTGAGTCTGTGCGTGTGTCTGTCTCTGTGTGTGTGTCTGTCTCTGTGTGTGTGTATCTATGTGTGTGTGTGTGAGTCTGTGCGTGTGTGTCTGTCTCTGTGTGTGTGTATCTATGTGTGTGTGTGTGAGTCTGTGTCTGTGTCTGTCTCTGTGTGTGTGTATCTATCTATGTGTGTGTGAGTCTGTGCGTGTGTCTGTCTCTGTGTGTGTATCTATGTGTGTGTGTCTGTGTGTGTGTGTATCTATGTGTGTGTGTGTGAGTCTGTGTCTGTGTCTGTCTCTGTGTGTGTGTAACTATGTGTGTGTGTGTGAGTCTGTGCCTGTGTCTGTCTCTGTGTGTGTGTATCTATGTGTGTGTGTGTGAGTCTGTGCGTGTGTGTCTGTCTCTGTGTGTGTGTATCTATGTGTGTGTGTGTGAGTCTGTGTCTGTGTCTGTCTCTGTGTGTGTGTATCTATCTAT